ACCTGGTGTAAAACAGTGTGCAAAAAATTGTAAGACAATTTTGGAATGTTGGAACTTGCTCATAGATGAAAATATTCTTGAAATAATATTAAATTCTACAAACAAAAAACTTCAACAACAAACCGGTGATAAAAAAAAGCATAGTTATGAAACATGCATGGCTGAACTGAAGGCGCTGTTTGGTTTACTATATATTGCTGGGTCTATTCGTTCTAGACGTCAGAACATGGAGGATTTATGGTCAGAAGGTAGAGTGGGCATAGGCATTTTTAGAACAACAATGAGTCTCCATAGGTACTTCATGCTAATAAAATGCCTTCGATTTGACGACATAGACACACGCAGTGAAAGACGTAAAATTGACAAACTTGCTCCAATCCGTGATGTTTTTACAATTTTTCAAAATAACTGTGTAAACGTATATTCCATATCTGAATACTGCACTATTGATGAACAGCTGGTTTCTTTTAGAGGACGATGTTCATTTCGGCAATATATACCGAGTAAGCCAGCTAAGTATGGCATAAAAATATTTAGTATTGCCGATGCCAAAACATGGTACTCATTGACATTTGAAATATACGTAGGCCAACAACCTGAAGGACCTTATGCGGTATCAAACAGTGCAAATAACATAGTTATGCGGCTATCTAAGCCAATTTGGAATTCTGGTCGCAACATTACTGGAGATAATTGGTTCACAAGTGTTCCACTTGCCGTAGAATTGCTACAAAAGAAATTGACGTATGTCGGAACTATGCGTAAAAATAAAAGGGAGATACCTAAACAGTTTGTGGAAATTAAAAGAAGACCACTCAAAAGTTCAGAATTTGCATTTACCGACAATATGACAATTTTATCTTATATACCTAAGAGAAATAAAAATGTAATGATGTTATCGTCAATGCATTTAGAAGACGATTCTATTGATGAGAGCACAGGAGATAAGAATCTTCCAAATATAATTACATTTTACAACCAAACCAAGTCCGGCGTGGACAAGGTGGATGAGCTATGCGGTTCATATTCCACTGCCAGAACATGTCGAAGATGGCCATGTGTTGTATTTTTTAGAATGCTCGACATAGCTGGCATCAATAGCCACGTTATCCACACTGCGAATAATATTAACAACAAAACAATTGAACGGAGGATTTACCTGCAGGACTTAGGGTTCGATCTTGTGAAAGATTGGTTGAAAGTCAGATCAGCTAACTCACACATTCCGCGTACAATACGTGAGAAGGCAATAAAATATATTGGAGGCTCTACTGAATCAAACGAAACAACAGAACCGCCCAGAAAAAAGGCAAGGTGCTCTATTTGTCCAAGGAAAGATGACAAAAAAACAAACTTTTTCTGCGAAAAATGTTACCAACAGATGTGCCTAAATCACATGAAACATATTTGTGAAAAGTGTTTTAACCAAAAGGAAGAAGAACAAGAATCCGATGATAGCTGCTAATGAGTTTTACTTAATTTGTTTATAATAACTTTTTAGTTTTATTTTTTAACTTTTATAATATTAGTAGGTGTTAATAAAACATGTTTTTTTTATATTTTTGTATTACTCAGCCTATTATTTTGTTTATAAACACGTAGATCACAGAAAAGTTTTAAGGGGTACTATGAGCACCCCACGTGGCAGTTGACGTTTTGCAAAGCCACGTGGCAGGTGCCGGGTTAATAATCAATAATTAAATTTACTATCAAATAATAGTTATTTTTATTTTAATAATAATTTAATATTTCGTCTGAATTTCACAGGTCGATATATATATATATATGTATATATATATATATATATATATATATATATATATATATATATATATATACAGGGTGTCCCACATTAATTTACCCACACTATATCTCTTAAACGAAGAGAGATTTTCGAATGGGACAAAAAGTGATTTATTATACTTGTAATACACTTTAATATGGCGTAGAAAAAATCATCCCTTAAATATTCATCCCTTAGTTACAACCCCTAACTTCAATTTTTTTAACCGCACCCTGTATATTTTTCTATAGTTTTGGATGTGGTCTTCTATCGTCTATTCAACAGATTCATTAAAAATAACATCGGTTTGTAAATAATCAAGAAATCAATTTATTTTTTATTTTTGTTAATTAAGTGTCCCAGACTAAATTATCCAGGCTATATTTCTTAACAAAATAGAGATTTTTTAAACGGACAAAAACTGGTCTACCATTTATAATACACTGTAATATGGTGAATAAAACATCATCCCCTAAATATTCATCTCTTAGTTACAACCCCTAACTTAAATTTTTTAATGATACCCTGTACAATTTTTATAATTTTGGATGTGGTCTTCTATCGTCTATTCAATCGATTTTTTAAAAATAAAATGGGTTTGTAAGGTATCAAGAAAAGATCAGTTTATTTTTTATTTTTATTAAATTAATCAAGATAGTCTTAAAAAATAGAATAGAAAAGAAATATTATGCTTTATTATCACTGAAAATTTTACTATTTTAACTACGTAGTATAACTTCTTACGTGCGTACGAAGTACACACTCTTTTTATTTAAATATTATTTTTAATTTTTCAAAATTTGGTCTTTGTAGAAGCATATGTTATCTTCCAGTGTGCAAAATTAACTGTGCAAAAATTAACAAAAGAAATCTCTTATAATAAAGTCACAATATTTGAAAAACTTTTGCAGTTATTTTACGTCTTAAATATTACTCTTAATTCATG